GCTGGATCACCATCAACTACCTGCTGGAGACACTCGTCAAGGTGTGGGCTGGGAAGTGGGCAGAGAAGGACCCCCTCCCTGCCATGTTGCGGTCTGGGCTGGGACGCCGATACCCTTGTGGTCACCCTGCATCCATTCCTTGTGGTAACTCTCGGTGCTGGGCAGTGCTCCCTCACAGGCGAGTGGACCCACCCACCTGCAGATGATGTGGTCGGAGCTCTGGACCTCGGTGGGGCTTCAACCCAGATCACATTCCTTCCTGGGATCCCCATAGATGACAACAGCACGAGAGCCCTCCTCAGGCTGTACGGGACCAACTACTCCATTTACACCCACAGCTACCTCTGCTATGGGCAAAAGCAAGCCCTGAAGATGCTGATGGCATCCTTACACCAGGTAACCACCTGCAGCCTTGTGCCTCTCCAGTGCAGCTTGAGCCCTGATCTCACAAAGCTGGGCAGGCAGCACCCACTGGGTGTGATGGCTGCTGGGCTCAGTGCCTTTGTGCAAGCACCAGTGAGGATGCTGGATACAACGGGGCCACCCCATCTCAGGGCTCGTCCAACAGCAGGGCAGGATTGAGCTGAGGTGGAGATAGACACCCTAAATCAGGATGCCTGACCATGGGTGCTGCCAGGGACCCTGTCCTGGGACTATCTTGCCCACCAGATCTCCATCCCATTCCTGATGGAGGGGCTGTGTTAACCCAGTGACAGGGGACTGAAAGGACCAAATCTTGGAGAAGGGGACCTGCTGGATGCTGGGAGGTTGGGGAAGACCCAGCAGAAGTTTTTAGCACCAGTCTGATAATGAATAAGTTGGTTTTATGGGTGGAAATCTGAACCAGCTGGTCTTTAGCAGCAGGCACTAGGCATGGAAGAGTGAGGGGAGGTGGTGTTGCTGCACAGGGGGACCCTCATGCCCACTGGCTGTGGGGTGAGGTCTCAACGTTGGGTTATGCTGGTTGGAATGGGCAAAAGACCACATCCAGAGCACCTTGCAGAGGGAAATCAGCATCTGTGTTGTTTTTGCTTAAATGGCTTCTCTGCCCTGGCTCTCCTGTGGAGTACAGCGATCCTACAAAGGAGGAGTGGTGACAAAATGGGTCCATCCTCAGCAGCTGTGAGGTCCTGCCCACGCAGTTGTCCCTGACCACAGCGTGGCCATGCTGTGCTGGTCCCAATTCTGTGCCTGCACCCCATGACATGACGTTGGCCTGGCGTGGACAATACCCCATGGGTGGTGGGGGCAGCATGCTAAGCATGGTGCCGATGACTTGCATCCAGGTGTAGGGACAGGCAGTGTCTGTGGGCTGTTTCTCTCCTTTCCATCCTCATCCTCAGTGCCAGGGTGATGCTAACTGCTCCCACTCTCTCCAGGACAGCCTATCTCCCCAGCAGATATCGCATCCCTGCTACCCCAGGGGATATCAGGAGAACATCACCATGGCAGACCTCTACGACAGTCCCTGTGTTCATGCAGCGAGCACACCCAGCCCTGCACAGGTCCTCACGGTGACGGGGACGGGGGACCCGATGGCGTGCAGCACCGCTGTCCAGAAACTCTTCAACGTCAGCTGCGGGGCCAACAGGACGTGCGGGTTCGACGGGGTTTATCAGCCGCCCGTGCGGGGCCAGTTCTTCGTAAGGAGCCTCCATCCCCTTGGCTGTGGTGGGGTGTGGGGTTTGGGGGCACCAGAGGCTGGGCCAAGACCCCATGAACACTGCCATGGGAGAGAAGTCTGACCAGTGTGAGGGACAGCAGATGTGCTGGAAGCTGGGATGTGCCCAGATGTGCAGACTCCGACCTCTTGTCACAGCACGGATCTCTTTGGTGCTGGCAGTGGCCCCTGGGCTCCCTCCCAGCAGCTCGGCAGGCATCGCCCTACAGTGCTGATCAGGGCCTTAGGGACCCCTGCAGAGCAGGCAGTGAGAGGGGCCTGGGTTCCTCACTAACCTGCCACTTTAAACACCCACAGGCCTTTTCGGGGCTTTATCACAACCTTCACTTTCTGAACCTGACTGGAGGGCAGGCCCTGAGCTCGGTCAACGCCACCATCCATCAATTCTGCAACAGCAGCTGGGAGAAGGTGAGATCCTGCCTGGGAGATGCCAGCCTCTGCCTGCATTTCACCTGGGCAGCCTGAGGGCTCATCCACAGCCCATCTTCTGCTGTGCAAATGCAGCTGGAGGTTCTGGGAGGAGCATGGGATCTCTGGATAGAGAATAAGGGAGAGCAGCCTGCAGCCCCCTGGGGTCCTCCTTGCTCCCCAGCCCAGGCACTCTCAGGTTTTGTTTCCTGGCTGTGCTGTGGGTGCACTGAGTGCTGCTCCATGCTGACAGCCCTCCCTTGCTCCTCCATCCCTGCAGGTGCAGGAGCAGTTCCCCACCGTGAACAGGACCCGTCTCCGTGACGCCTGCGCAGCCAGCTCCTACACCCTCACCCTTCTCCTGCAAGGCTACAAGTTCAACAGTGAAACGTGGCTCAACATCCACTTTGTCCGGCAGGTAGGAAAGCACCCAGGGACCACCAGCTTCCATGCTTTGTGCTGGGAAATGACTCACACCCACCTTGCCGCTGCCCCTGCACTGCCTGGGTGGGGGATCAAGGGATAAGGGGGCAGCATGGGGCACTGCACCTGCCCAGGGCAGTGAGAGGGACTGACCAAGCAGCTCTTGAGTTATGTTTATGGGCTAGAACACCTGGCCTGGGCCACCAATGCTGTCCCCCAGCTTGTCTCACTAACGGGGCCAAGGTATGCGCAGATACAGTGGTTGTGGAGCAGGACCAAGCTCTTCAGCTTACATGGTACTTTACAGCCTTTCACATCCCTCTTTCTTCTCTGTCTGCACAGGTTGCTAACGTAGATGTGGGCTGGACGCTAGGCTATATGCTCAACCTCACCAACATGATTCCCTCAGATGTTCCCCAGAGAGTCGTTGGGCTCCAAAGAAGCAACTGGATAGCAGCCACGGTATTACTGGCCGTCATGCTCATCCTCATCTTCTGCCTCCTCACAGTCATGTGCTGCCAGAAAAACTCCTACGGTTACGAGAGTCTCTAGCAGCGCTGGCTCCAAGGGCTGCCAACACCACCTCGTCCTGCTTCACGCTTGCACGAGGAGCTGCAGACCAAGGAATCATCCCCATGTGCCCAGGAGCCGTGAACTTGTAATGTGGGGCAGCTGAGTGCTGGGCTGGTGAGCTGGGACCAGCACAGGCTTTAAAAAAAATCCTCCCTGCAGCTGTGTGCTCCCTGGCTTTCCTTTCCCCTCACTGCTGGTTGGAGATGCTCTGGGAGGGAGGGCATGGGTGTGTGGGGCAGAAGATCAGTGCTGGGGGCGTGGGGACCACAGTGATGTGGGGCTGCTGGAGGTGGTGGGTCAGGGAAGAGAGAAGGGGTGTTTGGCAGCAACGAGGTCATCACAGGAATGGTTACAGCCTGCAGCAGGTACCCCATGTGGGACAGACATCCCGGGGCAAGGATCTGCATCGCCCACAGCCACCACCACCTGCCACAGGGACAGCAGTGTTGGGGCTATGGGGAGAGCTGGCCTAGTGTCACAGAATCACAGCATGGTCAGGGTTGGAAGGGACCTCTAAAGATCACCCAGTCCAACCCCCTGAGCAGGATCACCCAGAGGAGATCACACAGAATCACAGAATTGCTCGGTTGGAAAAGCCCTCTGAGATCATCACGTCCAACCGTTCCTGTCTACCCCCTAAACCATATCCCTAAGTACCTCATCTACCCGCTCTTTAAACACATCCAGGGATGGTGACTCCACCACCTCCCTGGGCAGCCTGTTCCAGCTTCTGACGACCCTCTCAGTAAAGAACTTCCTCCTTATCTCTAACCTGAACCTCCTTTGGCACAGCTTGGTGCCATTACCCCTTGTTCTATACAGGAACACTTCCAGGTGGGTTTGGATGTCTCCAGAGAAGAGAGATGAGAGGGTAGATGGGGCTTGGGCTGTGCCCAGGACTGGGAAGCCCTGTGAGGTCAGGGATGGCAGCAGCCCCTGCTGTCCTGCACGAGGTTCATCTCCAGTCCAGCTGCACCCTGTGTCTGTGCGTGGCAGATGTCTCACCCTCACTTTCCAGCACACAGATGATTTGGGAACACTGCTGGGTCACGTCAGTGGCAGTTCCAGGGCCCTTCTTACATTTTTGGGGGTTCCCACTGGTGGCCAGTGGATCGGTGAGGTGGGTGCAGCCCAACTCTCAGAAGGAAGAGGCCTGTCCTCATGTCCTGCTGCCTCCTCTCCAAGATCTGGCAGATGCTGGGAGGTCTCCAGGGGCATCTCCCTTAGCCCAAAGCAATGTTGATTCCCCCTTGAGTCTCTGTCATCATCACCAGCCCTTACATGGGAGACGGAAACAATAAAACCGTAATTGTGCAGGAACACAGTAACAGGCATTTCCCTGTTCAGACTTTTACAATGTTTATTTGGATGACGAGAGCCGTGAGACGCCTGCCTTTCTGCAGAAACGTCCAAGGTCAGGTCCTTGCTGCCAGGAGGCAAATAACAAGTTGAGTCATCCCCGGGCAGATAACAGATGAGCAGAATGAAAGGCAAGGGCGCAGCTGTGGGCAGGACCCAGCTCAGCCACGTGTGGGGGGTCAGGGCATGACGGGGTCTCAGCTTGGCCCCCAGTCTTCTGCTGCTGGGACAGCCTGGTCTCCTGGAAATCACTCGGGAACATCAATCCCTTTATCCCAGAAGAAAAGGAAGGCCAGGTGAGGTGAAATGAGATGGATGATGGGACCGCATTTTGGACTGCAGATGCTCAGTTTGCCTTCTGTCTCCAAGACCATCAGACAAGGCCAAGCAATACAACCTCAGGAGAGACAGAGCTCCCTGCCACCAAGTGCCTGCAGCCGTGCACTGACAGTCTGGCACTTTGGGAGCTCTTCCATGGCCAGGCTGGGCTCCACAGCCCCACGGACCAGCTGATGGGATGGAGTCCAGATCTGTAACAGGTATAGCAGAGTAAGGAGGCAGACAGGCATGGCTGGGGTGTGTAGGCTGATCCCAGCAGGTCTCCACCAAAGCTGAGCTCCTCTGAAAAACTCGTGGAGCCTATATACATGTTGGGCTCTGTCCTGTGGGAGGTCAGACCTCGGTTCCTCAGTGCTGTAGTTGTTGATGTTCTCAGTATCATTGAGCCAGCCTCAGGCTGCTGGCAGAGCTTCAGGGCATGGCAGTGCAGACAGCCCTTCGTGGTCCTGCTGGGCTCCAAAAACACAGCCAGGATCCTACACCCACAAGAGCAGGAGCAGGGCAGCAAGCCCCAAGGCAAGGGTGAGGACGATGAAGGCAACGGCCAAAGCCCAGAGGGAAGGGACGTGCCCTTTCACCCGCGCCGGAGCCTCGGCGGGGATCATGTTGGTGAGGTTCAGCATGTACCCCAGCGTCCAGCCGATGTCAGCGCTCCCCGCCTGCCCCGGGAGAGAGGGGACGATGGGTTAGTGCTGCAGGAAAGCCACGCCGATGCAGGAAGCTGGCTCCTCTCTCTAGCCCTGCCTCTATCGTGCCCGCAGGCTGCGTTTTCTGCCTACCTTCTTCTGGAAGAAGATGTTGTTCCAGCTGGTCTCGCTGAACTTGTAGGCGTCGAGGAGGAGCGTGAGGATGTAGTTGGCATTGGCGCAGTATTTCGGCAGCCGCTCAGGATTCTCTTCGGGGTAGCTAGCAGACAGCTGGGGTGGGGATACGTTTGGGAAGGAAAGGAAGTTATTTACAGGCAATTTCCACGCAGGGGCAATGCTCTGATGACTGCTGTATGAGGGGCGAGGGCTTCACAGCCACCAGCATACAGAAAAAGACTCAAATTTCAGGAAAAGGCAGGTATTTTAGACCTGTCTTTCTTTGAAGAGGATTTATTCTCCACATGGAAACAGGGAGATGTATTGGAGCTCCTCCTGCTCTAGATTCTCCTATCTCAGTCTCCTTGCTCTCTGTCCCATGGTGGTCCTAGCACTTCTCTTGGCCTTCTCCATCCCAATGTGACTGCTCCCCATCGTGGTGCCGGAGCTGGTGCCATCCTCCAAGGTCCAGCCCCACCTCCATCCACAGCTCCTGTGCTGGTGAGGAGATTTTGCTGCCTTCACCTGCTCTGGTTCCCCTTTGCTGCCTTCACCTGCCCTGGTTCCCCTTTCCCAATGTTGCATGAGCAAGGAGGCTCCCAAGGGTGGGTGCAGCAGAGTCCTGGACCCCTCACAGAGCTCAGGGATGGCTCTGCTGTGTATTGTACAGCTCAGCGACCAGAAAGCCTTGTCCTGGGGGAGTTCCTGCTCCCTCTCCCCCTCCTCAAAATCCCTTTGCTTGTGAAGCTTCCCCACAGCCTCCCATCATGGGGAACATACGTCTGCCCAGCTCCTTGTGCAGAAATGCTCGATGGTCTCCCTGACAGCGGCCAGCGGCTGCCTCTCGGTCAGGTTGAGAAACTTGAAGTTGTAGTAAAAGGCAGAGAAGGCCTGAAAGGCAAGAGGCCGAAATGTAGTTGAGTTACAGTGGGGAAACCCTCCCAGCAGCTCCCCCGTCTCCCTCAAAGCAAGAAGTGGGGTTTGTCCTTCCCTGGGTCTGTCCCACCCTTGCATAGTCCCAGGGCATGGCTGTCCACGTGCCAGCAGAGATGGGGCTGGGGGTGTAGATGCCTTCTGGCTACAGCAGCACATCAAACACAGGCAGAGCTTTTTTTTTAACTGAAAGCTTGGTTTTTGGCTAAGCACCTGGTTTATTAACTTTGTCCCATTTGGAGAGCTGGCTGGAAAATCAGATAGCAGCGATCCCTGTGGTGCCCCGGGGCAGTGGTGATTTGGGTGGTTCTTGCCCCCATTCCGCCGTGGGAAGGTGACAGTGCCATGGGACACACAGAGACACCAGGGACACCCTGTGCCCGGGAGGTGGGAGGCCAGGATTTGACTTACAATGAACATCCCGCTGACCCGGGGCTGGTAGATGCCATTGAAGGTGCAGTCTTGGCTCTGGCCACAGGCCGAGAAGTTGAACAGCTTCTTGACGGCAGCCAGACACTCGCTGGCATTGCCCCTGCCCTCCAGGGTCACGTTCCTGTCATCGAGGGCCAGGCGAGGGCTCTGGCCACAGGCCGAGAAGTTGAACAGCTTCTTGACGGCAGCCAGACACTCGCTGGCATTGCCCCTGCCCTCCAGGGTCACGTTCCTGTCATCGAGGGCCAGGCGAGG